TGAAGCCTTGTTTGCCGCCAAACGAAGTATATGCCTACAACGCGCTGCGGCTGACATCCGGCGATGCTACCCGAGTAGCTTGTTTTGGACCACTAACAGCAGACATAATTGCCCGACCACTCTTCGGAACAGATTATCCGCCGGGTAAGTATCGAGGTTGTTTTCAAGTCATTGCAGTGGCAAAAAGGAACCGTGCACCACGGGCCAAGACCTATTGTTACTGGTCAGCATTACGATGACGAGTGAAATCAGGTTGATTATCATCGTCCCACCACTACAAAGGACGACTGGTGCGGTTGGAATGGGCCCTCCCAGTCGCGCGACATGATCCCGACAGGGGTCAAGTCATCATGAGAGGTGTAAGCCGCGATGTGCAAGTCCAATGCGGCGACGCACGACATTCATTATATATTGGAGCTTTGATCGCTCGAGAAATTGGCTCGGATAACACAGCATTGCGGGCTGTGTTGGCATTTGCAGCCAGTCTAGCTGCGGGGCGACTTGCAATCACATTTGGTTACCTCCCGACCAAAGTGGGAACGCTCCAGATGACGAGTGCGAGCCCACTATCTCCTCAAGCGCACTTCGGTCTTCAATACCTGACCAGGAACTTCTTTCGCATCGAGAACGAAGTCTCTGGCGGGTTGGCTAAGAGTATTCACGAGCTACCTTCGTTAGCTTATGGTGGCAATTGTACATTGGTGCGCTATGACAACGACGTGGACCCAGGCCTCCATTACCACGAAGCCGAAGGCACTGCCCTAAACATATATGGTGCAACTGGATCAGCACATGCTAGGATTGTCCATTGTCTGAAGTCAACCAAACCCCAAGCGGGCTTCGACCAAGACATTGCGAAGTTCGAAGAACTGGCTGACGTACCAATACAAGGCAACGACGCCAGAGAAGGCCCAGAAGTCGAACCCCCACAAGAAGCCGGACGGTTTCCCACCATATATGAGGAACCAGGGGCGGACCTCGAGGCACGCATCATGGGAGCGCGGCGCACAGAACTGCAAGGTGAAAGGGAACTTTTGAGACAACTCCAATAGACAACCTCTGCGCTGCACCCGCGCAGATGATCACCGATGACAGTGCACTGGTCACAGTAGCTGAAGAACAGCGGGGGCGCCTGTCTACGCGGGGTAACCCACAGGGCACAGACACAATGGAGGCATATCATGTCCCACTGTACACACGGACGAAAACGACAATTATGGATTGGACCCAGACGAGCACGGACAATATGTAGAACTCTGCTTCGCGGCAGATATGCCAGAGGTAGTTCCATCGGAACAACAACGCATATTATTGGACTTCGACCGTGTGACCACTATGCGAGTATATGTGACCGCTACAGCTAAAAGAGTTGGAGTCGTCAGGGGGGGCGGCCTTTGCGAAGGCTGGTATCCAGGCGACTCCAGGCAAGGTGTCGAAGGCTCTTCATTCTGAACTCAAGACATGGTATGACAACATTTGCTTCCGACTACAAGATATGTCCAAAGCGTCAAATAGCATGACTTCGAGATACGTATATACATAGAAGCTCGTCAAGAACGAGAGGGGCGAGATGGAACGCACCATCGGATTGCGCTTGGTACTTCGGGGCTTCATGGATCTCGAAGCCTTCGATGTGGAGACGTTCTCAGGAACGGCGCGGTGGTCGATCCAGCGACTGCTCGCTAGCGCGGCAGCGTGCAGGAAGCAGTGGATCATTGCCTCCCATGACATCGACATGGCTTTCCGGAAGGAACTCACTTACCAGGAACTTGCTGAGGCAACCGGTGAAAAGGAGCGCGCGCTTCACATTGCCACCTGGGTCAGCATCTGCGTTCAGATCCACTGCGATGAATCAAAACACTGCCTACAGTGCTTCAAGCCAGTACTGGCACCACGGACGCACCAATAACCTTCTCACTGAAGCTGAGAAAGACCACGAGAGGGTCTGGTCTCAAACCCCTCGTCCAACGACGAGGAGTTCGAGACAAGTTCTAACCTACTTGCAGCCAAGCATGTTGATGACAAGCAGGGCCGGTACTGAGGACACCATCGACAAGTACGTCAAGTGTGTTGAGGATTTTTTGGCACATGTAAACTCAACGAACACGCGTGTACCAACTGCGCTGTGAGGTGCAGTCAGAACGGCGGCGGTAATGTTACATTTGATCAAGACGAATCCACAGAACAGCTCAGCCCTATCCAACATCGTGAACTCACGGGCGCAGACGCCGAGGCCAAGGCATCGAAGATGGTCACTGACATGTGAGCCAGTCCCGGAACACACAAGTGTGATTAATGGTATATGTTGCATTCTACAGCGTGTCCAAGAACCGACCGGCATGCAAGGGCGACGACTGAGCGCGATTACCAGGAAATTGCAGGCCTGCCCACAGGAGATCGCCTGCCAAGCGATGATTCCGACGGGCGAGGCCGACCTGCACAGCGACGCTGGTTACCGACGTCTGAACGGAGACGCCAGCGACGAGGCAGAAGGCCATGGCATTCGCGGGGCGAACCTGCCGCGGCGTGGACGCGCGCATGCCGGCAAGCCCGTCGCCAATCTTGTCGACGCCGCGCGCTGCGAGCCCCATCACTTGAAGGTCCGCTCGAGCTACTCAGCGGAAACACTCGCAGCAGCCCACAACTTGGAGGACTGCGATCACACGATTGTTGTTCTGCGCGAACTCCACGCAGGGCCGCTGACAACCGCTCAGTTGAACGACGTACTTGAGATGTGTGGCCTGAGCAGTAAAGGTCACCCTGACCATCGATGCAGAATCTGTCTCCAAGTCCATGTCAGACTTAAGACCGGCAGAAACCGACTGAGCGTGCACTTCTGGGACACATCAGTTGGATACGACAGATGATGGAGCGAGGTATCGCGCATTGTGTACAGTGGTGCGACAGTCGCGATCTGACCGCAGACGGCCACACCAAAGGGAGCATCGACAGAGGCATGCTCCTACAAGTCATGGGATGAACGCAATCCTTCAAGCATGACTTAAAACGACACACTCCGTACAGGGTTGGCCAGACTAAACCGTCTGAGCCGCCTGAGGAGCAACCGTCTGCAAGGTAATTTACCCGCGGTGCAACTTGCGTGCAAGGGAACCTGCGTGCGGGTCAACCTGCCTTGTTGAGCCCGCCTGCTGCTGCCTACCTCGTGTAATATAGCGTTTTGCTGTACAGCTGGCGGCGGACTCGCGCTTCGTCTCCTCCCCCCTCGAGTGTAAAGGAGGCTGGTGCAAAGGCGAGAGATAGCGAGCGTTTGTCCGCGGCCGTTTGTGCTCAAACGGCCGGCCGCCAAGATATGACTGCGCCTCATCGCGAGGCACACTATTTGCCATTGGGACCGAAAACATTTTCGCTTGACATGGCCGGTCGCTCCCGCGACGATTTCTTACTGCTGGGACTATCGTTATTACGGTGCAACAGAATTGGATGTGGGCTTCGCCGCAGGCGAAGCGTATGGTTGCGCCTCCCAACCCCCTTCAAACTGCCGTGGGGGGGAGTGGCGGGTGAATGGGACGACGCTGGTTTGAGAACGTGGAGGCTCCATCGTCTCAATGTGAAACAGGGGTGACGTGGCGACGCCGTGCAGATCCGTGGATTTTGTTGTCCTGCATCAGTGGCAGGGGGGCTTGACCATTGGATTTGGTCATTGCTCCCACGTTTACATTTGCGATCTTGTTAGAATGTGCTTTGCTTTTTGTGCCCCATGTATTGCGAATATTTACACGTCCGGCAGATTCCTACCGTGGCAGATTCCGTCTTCGTGTGTTGTCCGTACGAGTTCAGGACTCCTTCTGCAGGCTAAACTGGGAAGAAATAGCGACGCCCCGGAAGCTTGCACGTCTTTTTCTTAGATGCTGCAGGTCGTGGAACACCCCGAAAGCGCCGACGGTGATTCGAAGACGCGCTCTCAGTTTTTTCGATCGCAGCTCCCGTTCCTGGCTGGTGGCTGCAGGCTTCGCCCCCCGACCACCGACAAAAGGCAGGAGAGGCCCGCTCGGCGCGCTCCTGGCCCGGCCTGGGCCCTTTTGCTGCGGGGCCGATTTTCCAGCCCCCGTGCCAGGTACAGCGTGCGCCAGCCCTGTGTATCTGTTTGCGAAGTTTGGTATCCAGTCTCGATGTTCGATGTCTGTTTGCGGAGTCCACCAAGGCCTCTAAAGCCTGGTTTCGTTTCCACAGCGCTGGAGGTGCCAGTAGCAGTTTTCGAACGTTTTGTCTTCACACTGGCCTCCAAACGTCTCAGAGAAGTCCGGAGCAGCTGCGCGTGCATTCTAAGCAAAAGTGTTCTGAGCTCAGATTCAGGCACAGAGCACTAGCCGCGTCCGCCAATTGATCCCACACCTGAATCCGAACTCCAGGGTGAGGTTCTTCTTCAGGCTGTTGTTCTCGAACCTCGTGGCGACAGCAGTAACATACCAGTTTGACGCATATCCCCATCCCCATGTTTGGCATCACCTCCCCTCGATGCCCATCTTCCGGATTCCCTCAGTTTCTGAGGGCACATCCCTGAGATCGTCATCGCTTTTGGCTCACCCATCTTAGGGATAGGGACAAGTTCGAGTGTGGTTAGTAAAGACAGTGAGCGGGGAGGGGGGCCTGCCTAGCCAGCCAGCAGCCGACGGGGTCGCCAGGGTAGGGCGCCCAGCTAATCGCGCTTCGCGCGTCGCAGCCGGGGCCAGAGAGCTGACTGCCCTTCCAGGGGCGGCGTGAGGGCGCGAAGAAGAGCGCGCAGCGCGCGTCGCGCATCGCGGGGCGCGATGTGCGAAATTTGTCGACCCGCGACGTCGGCGTCGCCGCCGCCCCCCCTCAGAGGAGGAAAAGGATCCATGCCGCTACGTTTCCCTCCTTTTCCCCTTTTTGGGCCTCCCGGGAGGCCCTCGCCACCACCGTTGGCTTCGCCTCGAAATTCTGGTCAGAACGCACCCGTGGAGAGAGGTCTGGGGAGTAGCAGTATCGGTACCTGTTGGTTCCCCCACCCCCCTGCCGAGGAGACCCGGCGGGCCGCCGGGTTCGCGGACACTGCGCGGGAGGTTGAGGACGCGAGGAGACGGCCCGGCGGGCCAGGAGTTGCCAAAGCTGTCCCTGGCCCAAGGGGTCCCCAGGATTTTCCGGAAGGCTCAAATCGCCTCCAGAGCACCCTTCACGAGGCCACGAGGGCCCAGGGAGCTCCAAAATCGAACGAAAAGCTAGGGACACCTTCGGCCAGGAACGCAACCCCCCACCGCTCTGCCGTTCTTCGTCCCGTCGTCGCCGCCGTCGCCGTTCGTCGTGTCGCGTCGTCCGCTCGCAAGTGCAGTCGGGGCGGCGCGCGAGCCTCCTGGCGAGGCTCGAGACCCGACATTGTGAAGCACGAGGGGGATGATAGAGGAGGAGGAGGAGGAGGAGGAGGAGGAGGAGGAGGAGGAGGAGGAGGAAGGAGTGGTATCGATGGAGCATCGCTATCGAGCGTTTGCACGCCGTTCCCTGGAAGTTTTTTTTTTTTTTGTTGATTTCCAGATCCCAGTCTATACTTCAAGAACTGATATGCCTTTGCTGTGTTGTGTTTTCTGTGTGAGGGCCTGACCCTGATCTACTTAGTATGCCTTCCTACTTCATGTTTTTACCTACTTTTTCTGACCGACGTGTGTCCAGGCGGCGCGCAGACCCCGAAGGTACCGTGGCGGCCGAAAGGTGCCCCAGCCCTTCTCTCATTGCTGTTGTTTCGGCACCAGCCCCTCGCATTCGCAATCCCCGCACTGTGTTTGAGCAAAAGGGATGCCTCCCACAGGAGCGTATCGTCCGCGAATGCCCCGTGCCTTTTGGCCTTGCGCACAAGGCCATACTACAGTTGATAGCTTTGGGCTCCAGCTTCGCTCTCCAAGACTCTGAGCGGCGAGAGGGTGACTGCCACTGCATCCCCTGAGTCACCGGGCTCCAGCTTCGCTTTCAGCTTCTCGCAGGGTTGTGCCAGAGCCGCCTGTCGGTATTTGCCCATCTTGCGAGCTCTGATTCCAGCGTGGTAGTAATGACCTCGGGCTCCAGCTTCGTCTTTCCCCTCTCGGTGAGTGGCGACAGAAACTGACTCCACTGCTCGTCCTTCTTGCACGCGCTGTTTCTGACGACCTCGGGCTCCAGCGTCGCCTCCAGCTTCTTGCAGAGCAGTACCAGAGCTGCCTGGCGTTGTCTGCCCTTCTCACGCGCCCTGATGCCAGCGGGGTAACTGCCAGCATCGGGCGCCAGCTTCTTCTTCTGCATCGTGCTGCGTAGCGGCGTAGACTTCTGCCACCGCTCGCGCATCTCGCACGCACTGCTTCCAGCGCTGTTTCTGACGCCATGGGCTCCAGCTTCGCCTCCAGCGTCTTGCAGAGTGCCAGAGCCGCCCCTGCCCTTGTCCGCCCCTCTCGCACGCCCCGATCGCGGCACTGCAGCTGATGATACTGGGCTTTTGCTTTGCTTTCCCTCTCGCTGGTTAGCGACAGTGCTTGGTGCCAGTGCTCGGCTTCCTCGCACCTCTTACCAGTGTTGGTGCTGCTGATGACGGCCCGCATGCTCTCGCCCGAACTGGTCGCAGCAGTGTAGTTGATGGTGCTGGCTGGTCCCTCCTCGCACGAGAGAGACCCAGCGCTGGTGCTGATGATGGCTGCTCGCTCGCTCCCGCTACCCTCGCACGGCCTGTCCCAGCATTGTAGTTGGTGGTGCCCGCGCGCCCCTTCTCGCACGACCTATTCCCAGCGTTGGTGCTGATGATGTCGGCTCGCACGCTCTTGTTGAGTATAGGGGAACAAACAATGACATAACCATAAAAACTTGCAGGTTCGCGCGGATTCCTGGGATCGGCACTGGGGCCCCCTGGCGGCGCCTCCAGTCCAGCGCGGATCCGAGAAATCCGCGCGGACCTCCGAGCTTTCATGTTTATGTCATTGCTTGTTCCCCTAGAGTAGCGACAGATCCTGCTGCCACTGCTCGTCCTTCTCGCACGCTGTACCCAGCGCTGTTGCTGACGGTCTCGGGCTCCAACTTCGCCTCTTGCTTCTCGCAGATCGGTGCGGGAACCCGCTGCTGTTCGCCGTTCTCGCACGCCCCGATCCCAGCGCTGTAGCTGATAAGACCGGGCTCTAGCTTCGCCTTCACATCTCGGTGAGTTGCAACGGTGAAGTTGGCTTCTTTTTCATGCACTGGTTCGAGCGTATTTTTTTCAATTCGCGGCGCGATAACAGTCGTTATGGTGGGGCAGGGGGAGGGAGGGACGGGGGGGGCATAACGTAACGCCCCGCCCCCCCAGCATTTGGTGCTGGGCGCACTGCGGCAGTGCCAGGGACGCACTGAGTGGGGGAGCGTTACGTCATGGGGGGGGGAGGGGGGGAGGGGAGGGAGCATACCGCGCGCTATGGCCCAGAGGAAAAGCATCATTTTCTTCCAGGGTGGTAGCAGACGATCTTTGTCACTGCTGGCGGGCGGGGCGGGCACCATCTGCCCGGCTAGTACCGATCGCGGCTCAGCCTCCTCGGACTCGCTGTGCCTCCCCCTCCCTTTCGAGAAGGTCGCGAGGCGTGTCTGCTTGCTGTGGGCCACGGGTGTTTAGCGACCGCAAGGCGCTTAACTTACATAGCGTGAAGATGGAGACTCAGGCATGCTCGCGTCGTGAAAACGAAACACGATTAAATTTTTGGTAGTTGAGGCCTCTGGGGGCTCTCGCTGGGCCCCGGGACCGTCAAGCACCGACCTGGGAAGGAAAGCTGGCTCTGGGGAGAGCGTTCGGGACTTCCGGGGACCAGGTATGTATTGAAAATATCAAGGCGTTGCATGTCTGGGGAGGTTTGGGGTCGTCAAAAATCGAAGCTGCTCGCGGGTGTTGGAGCTCCTCAATTTAAGCATAAACTTTCGGAGCTCCTCGCGGATTTCTTGAATCTGCGCTGGAATCCCCTGCCAGCGCCTCTGGTGCCGCCCATGTCGCGCTTCGCGCGCCATGGGGGCGTCCAGCGAAGATCCAAGAAATCCGCGCAGAACCTCGGATGTTTATGCTTACGCAGGTTTGCCTTATCGGGTTAACTTGCCTAGGGCGTACCCGCCTTCGTACAACGTCAACCGTCGACCGGGTGCTGGCAGAGTCTTCCCCTTCTTTATGGATAGGAGGTCAGTAAGTTGGGCGCAGATCGCACCACCGACGTGTAGATGATGCTGATGATTATTATGATGCCGATAACGACGATGACGACGACGATGAATATGTTGCTGATGACAGCGAAATGATGATGATGCTGATGATGATTGCGATGATGATGATGATAATGATGCTGATGATGATGCTGTTGATGATATTGATGCTGTTGATGATGATGATGATGATGCTGGCGATCATTATCATTATCATGATGATGATGTTGATGATGATGAAAAAGATGAGGTCGACGACGACTTGATGATGATGCTTATGATGCCCGATGCTGCCGATGATGCTGCTGATGATGATGCTGCTGATGATTATGGCAACCATGATGCTGATGATGACGATTATGCTGCTGCTGGTGCTGCTGCTGATGAAGCTGATGATTTTGATGATGATGACATGTTGATGAATATGATCATGATGTTGATCATGCTGATGCTGATTACGATGATGATTACGATGTGTGATGATGGTGATGATGATGATGCTACTTATGTGTGTTATGTTTGTTGTTATTATTGTTATTACGACGAATAAAACATATTATTGCTACGATTGTTACAGAGTGCTCATTTCTAATTCGGTGTAATTGCAATTCCAGCCTGGGGCCTTGAGCGGGTCTCATTTGTAATTCGTCGGAGTTATAGATAAGCAGTGTCAAAGGTTGAACTCCCTCGAGCTTGGTATTCCAGTAGACCCGCGGGTGATGCGATGGACAGGATGACGACGACAGCGACGCCAACGATGATAATGATCCAACGCTCGTTGCCCGTCGCAGACCACATCATCAGGGGCAAGCCCTGGTGTGCTCGCTCTCCTTTCCTGTGTCGCCGGCCCGGTCGTCGGAGGGGTCCCCCTGGCATCACCATTTGATGCCTTCGTCGACGGGCGGCCCGTCGGGCCAGGGACCTCGGGGGGGGGCAGAAGAGAGCAGGGGCTTTTCTGCGAAAACCGGGGGGAATCAGATTTTGATCCGAGCCCGGATCGCAGCATCCGATTTTGATGCCTGGGCCGATCCCGGCATCAGCTTTGAATGCGGGGGCCGCGGGGGGCATCAGATTTTGATGCGGGGGTTGGTTCGGCCGCGTCTCTCCGCGCGCCCTGGGAGGCGCTCTGCCAGGGTTCGTGCCCCTTCGAGAGGTCGCGGCTCAGGGCACCCCCCAGGCCGCCCAGGAAAGGCGGCAGGCGGCCCGCCCCAGAGAGGGATCAGAAGCTTTCTTCCTTGCGAAAGCGGCGGGGGGGTGGCATCAGAATTTGAGGCCTCCCCGTGGCGCCGCGGGGGCGCGGCATCTGAATTTGATGCGGGGGGGTGCCTGGCCGCGTCTCTCCGCGCGTCGTGGACGGTGTTCTGCCAGGGCCAGGCCCCTTTGAGAGGGCGGGCTTTGGGCTTGCGCAGGATATAATCAGCAAGCGAAATACGTAGCAAGCAAGCGAGCAGGGCTTAATCATCTCTTATTTGCAATTCAATTCGCAGGAGGACTTAGAATTAAGCGGACTTTATTGAGCGGGATTAGAAGTGAGTGCTCTGTATTCTGATCATTATTAAGACTACCATTGGTACCATTAATTCCAATTCATATTATTATTGTCATCAGTGCTCTCATTGTGAATGCGCCGCTGCCATTTCATATAATAATGATGATCATCACGACGAAACGTTTTGTCGGATCACAAGGTGGACCGGTGCTTTACGCTTGGCGTAATGTGCGGTGGGCTGTGTGGGGTTGGGGGGTCTGGGCGTTCCTGGGGGTCTCCCTGATGCGCCCGGTGCTTGCAATTACATTTAGGGCGAAAGCGGCGTTAAAATTGTCAAGCCTAAGGGCCTAAGGGTGGTAAATTTCACATTGAGTTCTCTTTGATGCGAAAGGGCGTCTTGCAGGTGCGAACCTACGCGTCAC